AGGACTCAGAGAAGTTAAATGACTAACAAGAGTTGGGACTCAGACTCAGCTTTGTCTAACTTCAAAACCCATGACTTTAACCACTGCAAAATGGCAGAGGCCAGGTCACAGGGTCACATTATTCAAAGCCCAGCCACCTTTGGAAAGAGATGCCCTGGGACGGGCCTGTAGGCATGTGGATGCCCTGAGGCTTTTCAGGAGGGATGGTTTCACAACAGGCACCTTCCTCGCACACACAATTTCCAGGCAGCCCAATGGGGACTAGCGTATCTATCCCATTACACACAATTTCTTGGTGGATTGAAGATGTGAAGCAAAACTATACTTTAAACTTCAAAGCACTTCATTAATGATAGAAATGGTATTGGGCTTGGAATAGTAGGACCTGGGGCTTGTATCCCGGACCTAGAATTTACTGACCTTTAAATTTTGAACACATCACTCAATCTCTTACTTTACTCAGCTTTATAACTAGGTCAGTCCTAATTTTAAAAGGATAATCACATGAACTTAATTTTTTAAAAAGATTAAATGATTTTGATAAAGGGCATGGTATTTGATAGGAATTGAGTGTATTAATAGCTTTGTTTTTTAAATTTCTTTATTTGTCCAAAGAAAGACTATGGCTGCTACTTAAAAAAAAAGCCTCTTAATTGAAGTAAAACGCACACAGAAAAGTGCAGAAATAATGTGTTTACCTGAATTAATTATCTCAAAATGAACTCACTTGTGAAACCACTTCCCTACTCAAGAAATAGAACGTAGCCAGCACCCCAGGAGCCACTTAGGCTCCCTCCCAAGGCTGCACCCTTTCTCCTCTCCAGAAGTAACTGCTGTTTTGATTTTTAATACTGTAGATTGGTTTTACCTGCTTTTTTCTTTTCTTTTCTTGTTTTTTTAGCTGTATGTAAATGTAGTTATGCATAGGGTATTCTTTTGTGCCTGGCTTCTTTTGCTAAATTATGTTTGAGATTCATTGCTGTTGCTGCATGTGGGTATAGTTTGTTTATTTTGATAGTTGTGTTTTATTACATGAATATACCATAATTTATTTATTTTACAATTGATGGACATTTGAATTGTTTCCAGTTTTCGGCAATTACAAATGATGTTGTTATGAATGTTCTTGAGCATGTATTTTGGTTAATATGTGTACATGTTTAGTGCCTATTCAGGTGTGGAGTTGCTTGCTGGGTTACTAGATATGATATCTTTAACCTGGGTAGATACTCCAAACAGAAATCTAAAACTATTTCCCATTTCTGCCAGTATTGTGTGACTGCTTGTTGCTCCTAAGACTAGCTAACCTTTGGTATTTTATTCTGATGGATTTGTAGAGGCATGTCTTTATCCTTCCTTGACTACTAATGAAGTTAAGCCCCTTTTAAGATATTTGTTGAACATTTAGATATCCTTTTTAATAAAATACTTGTTTATAGTCTCTTGTCATCTTTTCTAGTGAGTTCTGGCTTTTTCTTATTGATAGTTTGGAGTACTTTATTCCATATATGAACCCTTTGTTGATTATATGTGTTGCAAATATTTTCTTCTGTGGCTTTCACTTTTACTCTCTTAGGTGTCATTTAATGAAAAGAAGTTTTTAATATTAATGTCATCTAACTTATTAATTTTTCCTTTGGTTAATGCTTTTTGTCCTCTGGGAAGTATTTCTGACTTCAAAGTCATCTAGAAGATATCCACTTGCATTATCTTCTAGAAGCTTTGTTGTTTTTACTTTCACATTTAGAGCTATAGTCCTGGGTAGGAGATAGCCATCTACCCCCTACATTTTTCTGTGCTTTATGGAAAACATTTGAAACTATGGCCTGAGGAAGATGTGACTCTTTATTCATATATTTGTGGTCTCTATGATTGTCTTTTCACATATCACCACATTTTCCCCAATGTAACTCCCCGCCCCTCACTTCTTTGGAGCACATTTGAGACATATGATGAGTTTCTTCAATAACCTTTTAGTACTCTTGTGTCTTAAGGAGATTAGGACAAGAACATTCTCCAGCACTCTTGAAGAGAACAGAGCAATTAAAGCGGACATACAAAATGGTTTATTCACAGAGATGCAGTCCATTCCTTCTTTTCAAAGTTCTTGCCACTGTTCTCAGTCATGCAATCTCCCCAGAACCACTCTCCATTCCTGCACTTAATCAGCAGTGACAACTCTTCCATTTGATAGTGAGCAACGTGAAAGAAGGAGGGAGGCTTCTCTGAAAATGGGCTTCCTCACACTTTTATAGCAGGATTTGACAGACATTGTGTAAACATGAGGATGATTCTCGACTGTTTGGAAGGACATGGCTACTTCAGTGCTTGTCGGCTGACTTTTTTTTTCTGTGAAGAGCTTATACATGGCTAGCTAAAACATGATCACAACAACAGCTATATTATCGGCAGATGCTCCATGATGGAATAGGCATCCTTTCTTTTGTGCTGCTACTTTATTTCCCAGACCGAACACTGTTACAAACTCAAACCTGTGGTTCAGTGATGGAAAGGGTGCAGCAGAGAATGCATAGATAGACGATGGCTTGAGGCAAGACTGAGCATACATGTTTCTCACAGGCTGTATTGGCATTTCTTCCATCTTATGTGCCCTTGCTATGGTGATTTCAATGTTAATATTTTTTTATGTTTCTCTGAACTGTGGCATATTTCTGTTTGTCAAAAAGAATATTTTTTTATTACTGTAGGTCAAAATTACAAATATCTTTTTCTTTTTCTGCTTTTTAGAGTTGACTACAAAAAATGAAGAGTTATCCAAGGAGCCAGGTCCATGTGAGACTATCAGAGGCTAGAGCCGTTCTCGATTTACATTCCTTTGTAACTTTTTGAGAGAACACTGTTTTCACGTCTCTGTGCAGTTTGCAGTTTTTGAAGGGCACATTAATAAAGGTGCACTTCTAAGAAAGATAGGGAAAGGTCAACTAGTGCTTCTTAACTGGTTTTAAAAAACTTCTGGCTTCTACAGTTATGTGAGTGTATGCACAAACTTAATTGTTAAGGGCTTATCCTACAACTTAGTCAAAAATTCTGTGCTTTTTCTTTAGCTATGGCCTTTGAAAATGTCAGTAACTTTGTTAATTCCAAGCCAATTATTTTTACTTTTCAAAGCATGAACTCACACTGGTCATATGTATCTTTACATTGGGATAAAATAAAAAACATACAGACACACACATATGCACTGATTTACACATTACATTCATTCTTAAGGATGATGCCATTCTCACTATTTAAATTTAATGTGTGCAAGATTCATCAGTGTTAATTGTTGGTGGTAAAAAAAAAAGAAAAATAAGATACTAACAGTAAAGAGATTCTTACCTGGTAGAATATGTATGCTGATCAAAAGTTAAGCTATGGCCTGCAATATTTTCAGTTTGAATATTCTACTTAGTACCTAAACATTAAAACTAACCTATTTCGAAAACTTTCCCAGTTCTGACTCTGTTGGTCATATTCTGGGTATAAATTTACAGTAAAATAGAGAATCTCTCTGCTGTCAAGGTACTTATAAGCCAATATACTGCCTTACTTTGCACAAATTCAAAATTATGAGGCTACTACAGAACAGCAGGTAATTTTTATTGTTATCTGCCTCTGATTAATCTCATTGGTTTTATTTATTTATTTCCTTCCTAAATTCTCAGAGTTAAAACACTATTGTATCCAAAGCTTTAATTATTTTCTATTCTGATATTGAGGAAGTAGATGACCTTTATTGGGATAGAGAGATAGACATTCTTTTATGAAAAGAATATAAGGCAGAAAGTTCATGTCTCTGTTGAATTTCATGTAAGTATGGCTTCCTCTAGCTGGTGAACTGTATTAAGTTTTGATACCATTGCATATCTGGTATGGCTTTTTGAATGGAGGGATATAAAATCAGATGTGTGCATTATTTTGACATAGTGTGATTTTTAAATTTTTTTGTGCATTTTGACTAAGCAATGATCAAATGGATGGATTACTCATATTAATATTTTGTAAGATCTGGAAATTTCACTTGACTATTAATAAGAATAAGCACAGACAACAGCAAAACGTGCTTGATCATCATTATCGAGTGTCACAGATTACTACATAGGTTGAGATGTCAGTTCTTAACAAATTAACTTACATGTTACTTGATGTAATTCTGCTCAAAACCCATATACAATTATCTGTAACTTGATGAAATCATAGTAAAATTCATCTAGAAGAGGGAAAAAGCAAGAAGAGCTAAGAAAATATTGACAGAAAAAGTAACGGATGGAAGGCTTGCACTATGAACTATTAAAAACTAGAACAATTTAATGATCAAAAGCTGCATGTTCAGTCAATCTAATTTCTATATAGGTATATGACATTTTAATAAACATGTGCAAGGATATAATATTTAAGTCCATCTATATCTACCTATGTAAATCCTAGTATTCAAATATCTATCATCTATGTATATTTGGAACATTTAACAAGAACATATGCAGGAACCATATAAAAAGATCTACAGAATTTTATTGAGTGGTATGAAGCCTTATTAAATTATCTCCCCAGATGGGAAAAGGCTTATAAGATTCTCTCTCTCTATGTATGAATAGATACATACATGCATACACACAATATAAATTCTTTTACACATCCTGTAGTATACTGCCCAGCACATTAAATAAGTATTCAATGACTATTTCTTAAACCAATGAATATAAAAAAGTTTGTGATGTTCTGTGATCAATTATTGGAAGGCTTATTTCAGCATGAAATGAAAATCTAAGGAAGTAGTGATATATAGAAAGTCATTGTAAGGATAATTGGGGAAGCATATTGTCCTGGTTATCTGGTAAGAATATATATGAAGGAGTAAGTGTATTCGGGTTTTCCAGAGAAACCGAATCAATAGGATGTGTATATGTGTGTGTGTATAATATATAAAAATATATATGTAAATATATATAATATATATGTAAAACATATCATTTATTATAAGGAATTGCTTCATGTAGGCTGAGAAGTCACACAATCTGCTGTCTGCAAGCTGAAGACCCGGGAAAGCTGGTGGCATACTGCTGAGAAACAGAGGGCTGGTGGGGTAAGTGCCAGTCTAGGGAAGAAGACAGATGTCCCAGCTCAATCAGTCAGAGAGATTGAATTCCCCCTTCTCTGCTTTTTTTATTTTACTCAGGCCCTCAATGGATTGGATGATGCCCACCCACATTGGAGAGGGCAACCTGCTTTACTGAGTCCACCAGTTCCCAGAAATAATACTTATCTTGGGCACCCCATATCCCAGTCAAGTTGCCACATGAAATTTACCATTTCAGTGGGGAAATGTAGACAAGGAAAACTTTGAAGTTTGCCAGATTACTTGTTGGTGAAACAGAGAATGAATAGCAAAATATCTATCGCAAAATAGTAGCTTAGGGAAAGAAAAGGGATCACCTATATTTAGGCCCTGGATTAGATAATTTTTGTTTGGTAGATAGGGCAATGTCAGCTGGAAACATCCGGCATATTGAGCATTGTATTCAAAGTAATGGGATATTGCTACTGGGAAGACATACATATTTCTAAGCGAGAGAGAAACTAAGAGTGGGAATTAATGACTGTTTTTCCCAATATATGACTTATTAAAATTCTTTCTAGTATAATTACTCATGAATATGGGAAGTCAACTGCAATTTATTCCTAAGAATCAGTCAGTGGTTTTTCTTGCTAGATCGATCCCTTGTGGGCTTCTGATCACTATTCCTGGATTTGGACCAGTGATGTAGAGTGTGTTCATTATTCATTCATTTATTCCTTCAATAAATATTTATGAAATGCCTACTAAGCAACACAATCATGGTAGGATTGCCAATTTAACAGGAAACAAGGGTTGGCTTCTGGTCTTCTTGAGATCAGAGAATGGGAAGTTAGGGAGACACATTTTTTTATGTCTAAAGAATATGATGTAAGGTCTGTGGAACAGCTGAATGAGTTGTGTGTATATCATAAAAGGTGTGTAGACTACATAAAATGTAAATAATGGTAAAGAATTGAGAGAGAATCCTAAGAGAAATGTGGCACTATTTGAAATTTTTAAGCAATGGAAGAACACTGTCATGTTTGTATTTTAGAAAGAGCACTTCATCTACAGTGCAGAGCAGAGATCAAAATCAGACAAGATTGGAAGCTGAGAGATCGTTGGGGGCTGTTGTAGTAATTTAGGCAGCAAAAGATACAGATTTTCTACAGTCCGCAGATTATATATTTTGTGTCCTTTCAAAAAATACAAAATCTTGAATACAAAATTAGATGCAAAGCTCTAGAAAGGGGCCTTAAGACTCATGACTTTTATTCTGTATTTGCCTTCAGATCCAGAGAAGTGATTTTGGTGGTTGGAACTATGGTGGGACAGTGGGGATGAAGAGGAATGGATGAGAAAATGAGAAAATCTTGGTAATTTGTTGTATAAGACATGAGGAGGGAACTATCAAGGATGATGTTTATTTTTTTTTATTTTGTGCAGTTAGGTAGATGGAGGGTCTGTTCATTGAGATAGGAAATATAGGAGGAAGAGGGGATTTGGGTGGCAATATGGTAAGAGAAATTTTGTGCTCATGCCAGGTATGAATAGAAGTATTGTGGAATATCTCAGTATTGAACTCAAGATAGTTGAAATTGTCCTGCTTCTGATGTAGCTTAATTAATTTTGGCAACTTGTGTGCTTAACATCCTGAGGATAAATGTAGTGCCCCATCAAATGTGGTTCCCAAAGTAGGTATAGATTTAAACCTACAAAATAAATAGTTAAATGATCATTGCCTTCTAGCTCTATTGTCTAGGCCAGAAAACTAATGCTAGGTTATGTAGGACTCTTACTGTTTTTCTCCCCCTTGAGGTTGTGCCTTTCAGGATGATCTTTTTTTCCTGATCCCTTGTGTTATAATATCGGGACATGTGCTGCTTAGCTAGCAGGTTACCCTGAAGGCTTTCAGTTCCCTGGGGAGGATGAATTTTTGGTTGTGTTTGTAGGGTTTCTCTCATGTAGGTCAGTGTCTGAGCTCCCTTTGATTGTTAATCCATAGTCTTGAACTGATTATGCAACACACTGAGGACCTGCTAAATATAATGTTTTAAAGTTCAACAGCAAATTTCCTACACCCATTGTCCTTTAATTTGAGAATGGCTGAACAAATTTTTATTATACTTTTCATGTAAATAAAGAAAGATATGACTTCCAAAGAATACAAAATTCACCCTACTACAAAAGTTTTAGACAGGTATCAAATGATTTAATACAGGAGATAATAATGGAGACTGTTTTGCAACCTAAAATATATTATTTTCTACTATGTACACTGTAATTACTATTTACAGCTATATTATAGGGAAATCTGTGGGTGTCATGGAATTCAGTCACAGAATTATAGAAACTCTGTTTGCATAGTCAAAGGGCTAGTTAGTAAATTCCCTCCTATTTTCTAACCTATTTAAGCAGATCATATATGTGCCAATATTTCTTTGCTAACTATAGTAAAAGAGACAACTAATTTTAAATCTTCTATTGCTGAATAATACCCATAATAACTGTGTATAATATATGGTTCATAATTAGTGAATATGCTGAGGTTTTTCAAGAAGCGCATTAGATATGGTATAGATACAAATTTCTGCTTCATTAAATGACTTTATAGACTATATTTTGCTGCTTTTGCATATGTGATTTTTTTCTGTTTGATAGCAAGATTACAGCTTTTTAATGAAAGTACCTTTTTATTGGAACCTTTTCTGAAGTTTTATTGAACCTCTTGGTGACCTATTTCTAATGATTTTAGAACTCTAAAATTTTCTATCCCTTACTTAAGTAGCTTTAACTTACGTTTGATTAGTGGTTTTGGAAGTAGATTCACAATCTAATTTTAGGAAGAAAATCTCTTCTTATAGGAGAAACAAATTTAAAAATAACCTTGCACATCACAGGATGCCTATGAATTATGAAAATGGCTCACATTCCCGTAACACTTATTAGATAAAGAGAGGGTGAAAGCCAGAGATGACTTCACTTAGTTGCATTTCTGCAGGAAAATTTCTCTTTATTAGGAAGACTCAGATAAATAAGTCTAAGAAATGATTGCAATACAATATTAGGTACCCTGATTTCATACTAGTATAAAAGCATGAGTGAGATGCTTATACTGGGTGTTTGTAGAATTTATGAGAGGTTTCCAGGTATCCAGCTGCCCCATACTTCAGCAATTTTAGAATCCTTATTTGAATTTTGGAGTAGCTATGACTTAAACATCAAGAACTATTGTGATGATTGAGTTGAGCCCAGAAAGGTAGATAGGAATTTACTTACCACACAAGATAGGAGAAGACTATCCAATTGGAGCAAAAAGTCAGGCATTAATTCATATTATCCATCTCCTTCCAGTTAAATTTTTTATTTAATTTCAAAAGAAATATACACACTTTAAAAAGCTGAAACAATACAGAAATTGTTGTAAATTGTGTATGTAAAAAGCAAATACCTACTTTGTGTGTTTTTTTCTTTCTATCCCTAGCCCGTATTTATGCCTCTCTCTGCATATTTAGTGCTAATTCTCTGAAAACTTTTCCTATGCATTTACCCATTTAAATATCTGTGTGTGTGCATGCGTGTGTGTGTGTGTGTGTATGTAATTAGCTTCGTTGTTATGTAACCTGCATCACTCACTATGCCTTATAGTCCCCTTCCTGTTAGTGCATATCAGTCTACCCTATTTTTTTTAAAGAACTACCCTTCAATCTAGTATAAATGTATCATAATGTATTTAGCCATTACCATATACAGGCTGCTTACAATTGCTATGGTCTGAATGTTTGTTCCCTCTCAAATTCATATGTTGAAATCCTACCCCCTGAAGTGGTAGTATTAGGAGGTAGGAACTTTTGAATATTGATTAGGTCATGAGGGTGGCACCCTCATGAATGGGATTAGTGCCTTCTAAAGAGGTCCAAGGGAGCTCATTCACTCTTTTGTCATGTGAAGGAGCAGCAAAAAGAAGGCTGTCTATGAACCAGGAAGTGGGCCCTCACCAGATATTGAATCTGCTATTGCCTTGATCTTAGTCTTTTAAGCCTCCAGAATTGTGAGAAATAAATTTATGTTTATCAGTCACACAATTTATGGCATTTTGTTATAGCAACCCAAATGGAATAAGAGAATTATTTTTCTACATTACAAATAATGCCACCATCAACTTCTATATCCTTATCTATTCCTCTAGTGTTCTAGTTCTTTCTCCTCCCTCTCCTCTCCTCTTCTTCCTTCCTCTCTCTTTCTTCCTTTCCTTCCCTTTCCCTCCCTCCTCCCCTCTCTCCATCCCTCCCCTCCGCCTCCCTCCCTGCCTCCCTGCCCTCCCCTGCCTCCCTCTCCCTCCTCTCTCCTCCTCCTCTCCTCTCCTCTCTCTCTCTCCTCTCCTCTCTCTCTCTCCTCTCTCTCCTCTCTCCTCCTCTCCTCTCCTCTCCTCCTCTCCTTCCCTCTCCTCTCCTCTCCTTCCTTTCTCTCTCTCTTTACTCCTCTTTTCCTCCTTCTGTCCTCTCATTTCTCCATACTTACCTCCCATTTATCTAAACAATGCCTATCTTGCATGTGTGTATTTCTAAAAAATAGATTCTGGAAGTGAAATTGCTAGGTAATTTAAATACTGACATATATTCCTGAATTTCCTTCCCCAAAACTCTGTACTTATACTCTGTAGCTCATACTTCCACCAAATTTAGTGGTGTTCATTTCACCATTAATTATGGATATAGTTTGCCTATTTTATGGGAAAAATGGTAAATCATCTTTAAGTTTTTTTTGTTTTTATTTTCCAGAAATTGTAAGTTTGGACATCTTTTCATATGTTTTTTGGCCCAGTGATTTTCCTTAATTTTTCTTGTTGGCTTTGGTAAGGGACTTTTTAAATTAATGATTTGTAGAATCTCTTTAGACAGTTTCGCTATTATATTTTATTATATTTTTGTCTGGTATATGTTTTGCAAATATTTCCTCCAAGAGAGATTTATCTTCTAAATTTTAAATTCTGATGTAGTCAACTCTGTCATTCTTTTCCTTAATGGTTTCTGTATCATATCTCTTGCCTAATAAGGCTTTAGCAGATCAAGATTATAAAAATATAATTTAAAAATATCTTTTTGGTATTTTCATAGTTTTTTTAACTTTAAATTTTTCATACATATGGAATTTAATTTTGCATATGATATAGGGTATGGCTGAGATTTTTGGGCAATAACCACATCTTTCTCCTCTTCCTCCCATGTTCATAGTTAGATCCTATCTTCCAGCCTCCTGTGCAGTTAAGTCCATGTGACTACTGAAGCCAATGGAATGAGAGTAGAAATGACGTATGCCACTTCCAGTCTTGGTTCATGGAAATATTCCAAACAAGATCCTCTCTATGTCTATCCTCTTCCAAAATAACCTTGGAGGCCATGTGTTGAAGATGGTGGAGTCAAATCTGGAAAGAAGTGAAATCCCAGAATGACTGCTGAGAGAAGAGCTACCCACAAATCAGGAACATCTGTTTCAGACTCAATGTGAATAAGAGATAAACTTATTTCTATAGCTTTAAGCCACTAAGATTTTGGGGTTATCTTTCATAGAAGTTTTTAAATCAATAAACAGTAAGATTTAGCTTTTTCCAACTATAAAATCTATGGTTCTAACACACTTTATTTAATAGTGTATAATTCTCTAATAATTTACTCTCTGATTTGAAATTCTACTTTTAACATATTCCACATTTCTATAATTTTAGGGATGATTCTGGATTCTATCTTGTTTTATTGAGTTACTGCCACAATATCATGATATTTTAATTATTGTAGCTTTGTAATTGTTCTTTATGTTTGGTAGCAGAGTTATCTTTTAAAAATTAAGGTCTGTCTTACTCCTTCAAAATCTTTCTATGCCTTTTAGGATAAAATACAAAATCTCTAGGATAGTCTATAAAGCCCTGCATGATTTGGTCACTCTCTGTCTTTCTGGCTATATTCTTCCTTCTCTGCTTCTTAGCTTCTTTAATTTTCTTGAAACTGCAGAGTATCTTATCAGCTCTGGACCTTCATGAATGTTTTTCCATTTGCCGGAAAGAGCCTCCTATTCATCCTTTATGTCTCAGATTTAAGAGTTGCTCTTTAGGAGACATTCTTTCTGACCACCATCAAGACAAGATACTATTGCTAGGCAGTTTTAGTGCGTCTCTCACTGTAGTTATTATCATTTAAACATTTATTTGTGGTATTATTATTATGTTGATATTTTCTCTTCTGTTGGATTTAAGATTCATGGAATCAGAAACAACATTTGTCATTTATTATGTATCTCCAACACCGAGCATAATACTTAACATTGAATGCATGATAAATATTTGTTGAATGACTTAAGAGTTTGAAGAATAATTTGACACAAGCATGTCTAAACATTATGGGTTTATAAATGGGATTGATTTCAGTGTATCTAGATAAACTCTTGTTCCCATATGACTTTGATTTGTTATGTAAAGAGAGAGAAGTCATTACTGATTCCACTTGGAAATGAAGACATTCTTAACTATAAATAATTTAAGGACATGTTAAGTCACCTGGAAATGAAGAACTTGACTTGGAGGATTTTAAATTTTACTAGTTATTTGACCCACAGATGAATCAGTTCTCCACTGGTATCACATGATTCTCATCATGTAAATAATAAAACAAAGTTTTCTTTAGTGCTGCAGAGGTATTTGTTGTACCTTCTGTTGTGTTTAGAGTAAGTATGAAACGTAATGGAATTTTGAAGTGCATGCCATACAAATAAATATTTCTATGTTGTCAAATCTTATTTTATTAACTGTAGGTCTCTTCAAGAGCAAAAATAATATCATATACAAGTTTTGTATAAAATTGTAAACACTTTCTACCTGGGGAACTATCTCAAGCTCCAATATATCTCTATCAGTTAAGGTTCTGGTAGCAAATAGCACACTCAAATAGTGTAATTGAAGAGTGTTTTAAAGGAGATGATTGTCAATGGGTAGGAGCAAGGGAAATCAATAAGGGATGATGAAGTGCCCCAGAGTTATCCATGGGGTCCTGTTAGCAGCCCCCACCATGAGAGGATCAGGTGAGAGAGGAGTCACTGGATGTTAAAAACCAGGCCACCTGACAGAGCCCTTGTCTTTGGTAAAAGTGCTTAACTAAGTTGTGGTGATGTGGTAGAGAGAGAGAGAGCCATGGGAATAAATAAATCCCTGCTCTTGTTCTCTTCCTACTCTCTGATCTTTTGTTGGAGCCATCTTCTATTGGTCAAACCCACCCAGAAACTATCAGGGAAGATAACATCATTCATAAAGGTTATAAATGTCTTGGGGTCCAAACGCAGTCAGGAATAGAGAGGATTTAGAGGGTGAACAGAAATTATCCAGAATCCTCTGACTTACCTAGAATTTATTTTTTAGGATATAAATAGGGTGAACATTAAATTAGTATATTTTGACGTTCCAAACCAATACTTCTGACACCATCTGTTGAGCCTTTACTTTTTCTACTACTTTCTGAACCCTGTTTACATTATTATATGCAATAGAGTCTATTCTGGGATATGAGTTCTAGGATATGTTCTTCGCTGTTTCATAGTAATTTTATGAAATGCTTATTTGATTTAATAAGACTTTCCTTATCATATTTTTTCAGAGGTATGGATTCAAGTAAAATTTTAATATTGACCTAGATCATTAAGAGTATTCAAGCTGTATAGGAAAAATAACTTATGTTTCTCCTACTGTATGTTATCCTTTTACAAATATGTGGAACACAGTATCTAGTATGTTATAGGCATACATAAAGAATAAAGGATGAATGTATAAATAATATAAATTTATTTAACAGTATACTGTTGTATATATGTTTGAGAAAAGTAGAATAAAGCAAGATGTACTACAGTTGAGACTTGAAGACATTTAATGACATTAACTTAAACAGAAAAAGACAGATTTATACACTCAAATACCAGGACAAATGGATCTCATATGAATAGGAAAGACTGAAAAAAGAATTATATTGACTGATGTGATGTTATTAAATTGATCATATAAGAGGTTCTCACCAGAATGTAAGAGGATGAAAATCTGAGGACTTATACATTGGATCTCATGGTGTCCGGACACGTCCCTGAACATCAACTTCAGAGAGAATCCAGGTACTAGATATCTAGTACAGGGTTGCTCCAAGACTTAGTAGGGATTCTAAACATCTCAGAATAGAGAGTGAAGCCTTTGATGATTCTATCTTATCTGTCTGGGACATTTCTATTCCCTTATTTCAATTCTTTATCTTACTATCTTTCTTATTCATCTTTAAAAATTTAGCTCAGATTTATATACTACTTATAGGAAAGTCTTTTTTTTTTTTTTAACACCATTTCCCAACTCTAGTGTATATCCTCAATGTTCCTATAAATTCTTGGGATGGTGGTAACATCATCATCATCATCACAGTTGTGATCATCATTTGATGCTCATATTTATTTGAATTACTGTACCTAGGAATTTGTGATAATTTATATGAATTATCTCATTTGATTCTTACAATAAAGTAGGTAATATGATTATAACTTCCTAATTTAAAGATGCACATTGCATACTACTTTATAATCTTTTTAACTTGACTTCCTCTCTTAAGAGTGAATTCATTGAGGGCTTGGACAGTATTTGTCATCATGTATCTTTGTATCCCTGGCACTAAGAATAGTGATCAGTTCATGTGGTTGTACCCTAAATATTTCAATGAATCTCGCTTTAGTCTAGATTTATCTAATTTCTAGATATGGCTTTGATATGATCATTTTTAAATAAAGTGACACTTTGGTTCTTATCACCTAAAGCAAGAACATTTATAGGACAATAATTTATTTTATTAAATTCACTAAAATATTTGTCAAATTAAAATCCCCCTTGGGCTTTAGTTCTCTTTTTCTATATGTGTATTTAATTCAAATTGGATGAAATATTGATAATCATGTATTTCTGCTATTGAAGAAAATGGGATAAAAGACTACTTTGCAAAAAATAGTCACAGTTTTTCACTCACAAATTAAATTATGTGTAGATCTGCTATCTTGCCCCCATTAACTTCTTGCCCTCTTTGGCTTTCTGGGCTCATTGGGGATCCAATTTCCTATGGCCCAGTATAACCGGCTATAGACCACCCCTTCTGCTTTGCCACCCTCTCCTCTCAGTACAAATTAGCCTGTGTCAAGTGGAGGGGAAACATGGAAGGGGGAAGATAATTAATTTACACTCACATTAAAATTAGACGCTTTCTAAAAGGAGGCAATCACTTGGGCTTGGATCCCCAAGGATCTACCAATTTGGGGTTGCAAATTCCTGACCTAACTTATTCTGAATTATTAGAAACATAGGTAAATACATTTTTTGATACTTCTGTGTGTACTAAGGTAACAAAATCTAGCAGTGACCTTTTAAAAGTTTTTACATAGTTTTAATTACATTGCATCTCCAAGTTGAAATTATATACTCTTAAAAATATTGGAAAATCCTTTCAGACCATGGAAACAGCATTTAAGATGTGAAATGACTGGACAGCAGAATAAGTCCTTCCAATTATGGCTATATATTATTCTTTTTCTGTCAATATCTGAAAGTGTATTGTCATAAGTCACTTTCTTCTAGTTATAGCTTTGAGATCATCAGTGCTTTTGAATCAAAGATTTTTTTATGAAATGAGGTGCAAGTCATGGAACTATTTATAATATGCTTATAAATAAATATTTTTCTCTAATACTTATAGTTCTTCTTTCATCCTAAAAAATGTATGTGAAGGATCAAGTCAGGAATCCTACCATGCAAGGTGACAGAGACCTATGCTACACCTCTGCTGGCATTCCAGAATGCTTGTCATATTAAAAAATACAGATAAATTAACATCCAATAAAGCTTCCAGAAGTGATACTCATTCCCCAAATTGGTAGAGCAGAAATGCAGTTAATTATTATAGTTCTTACAGAGGGTTTATTCTTAATCATTCTGTTATAGCAGTGAAAATGGTTTTGGGGGTAGTGGATAAACCATTCTTCAGAACTGGGTAGCAGTCCTCTCAACATTACACTTGTGGCGAATCCCTAAGGTTTAAAATATTCCCTGAAAGTGATGTGGGCAGTGGTGAAGGTTTGTATTCATTATTGAAAGCAATAACTTATGTATCAAGAGTCCCCTACTGTTTTTATTTTGTATCTAAGTGATATTTATCTCAGTAAATTCTTGGCTAAATGGCTTTTCCATTTCTCAACTAACATAAGTAGTAAGGATTATAGTACTGGTCAACCCTTTTAGAAGGGAAGAAAATGAAATGGATAGATAAATTTGTCTTAGGTAGACAGCTTATTAATTTAGAGTAAAATATATATCACAAGCAATTTTAGAAAGTTTCCATTTCTGTCACTCACAGATTGTTTAAAAGGTGCTCAAAAACACATTTTAAACACAAAGCAACTTGTATTAAGGTCTGAATTAGTTCAAGTGACCTTCAGGAATCAATTGTTTTAGATCAGATCTCAACATTGCTCTGAT